ACTATCCCACATCATATATCTTCCGTTTCAAAAACATCCAGTTTATGGTCATAGCTACATATTATTTCAGTGTTTTTTTCTTCCTATGACATTTGTCTCTAATTTCTCCTAGTCTGTTCTTCCCTACCTATTTGTTGATCATTTAAATATCTTAATCACCAGTACTCTACAACTCTACTATACCCACCAGAAAAATCATAATGCCACATCAGTCTTACCGTCTACATTTTCTTTTTCTATTAGGCTCTTTATTTTAATTCCAGTATAATTGACCTTCAATGTTATATTAGGATCAGATGTACAATATAGTGATTTAACGATTATATACATTACTCATTGCTCTTTATGATAAGTATTCTTTAATCCCTATCACCTATTTTACCCATCCCTCTGGTAACCATCCCCTCACACACCACTCCTCTGGTAACCATCAAATTATTCTCTATAGTTAAGAGGCTGTTTCTTGTTTTGTCCCTCACTCTCTTTTTTCCTTTGCTTCTTGTTTTATTTTTTAAATTTCACATATGAGTGAAATCATATGGTATTTGTCTCTCTCTGACTTATTTATTTCACTTAGCATTATACTCCCTAACTTCATCCATATTGTTGCAAACGGCAAGACTTCATCCATTTTTATGGCTGGACAATATTCCATTGTATATGTACCCCACCTCTTCTTTATCCATTCATCTGCCAGTGGACCTTTGGGCTGCTTCTATAATTTGCCTATTGTTGATAGCTCTACTGTAAACATTGGGGTGCATGTGTTCCTTCAAACCAGTATTTTTGTATCCTTTCAGCAAATACCTAGTAGTGCAATTGCTGGGTCAAAGGGTAGTCTTATTTTTAACTTTTTGAGGAACCTCCATACTGTTTCCCACAGTGGTGCACCAGTTTGCATTCCCACCAACAGTGAAAGATGGTTGCTTTTTCTTCACATCCTCAACAACACTTGTTTCTTAAGTTTTTGATTTTAGCCATTCAGTAGGTGTGAGGTGATAGCTAATTGTAATTTTGATTTGGATTTCCCTGATGATGAATGATGTTGAGCATCTTGTCATGTGTCTGTTGGCCATCTGTATATCTTCTTTGGAGAAATGTCTGTTCATGTGTTCTGCCCATTTTTTTAATTGGCTTATTTGTTTTTGGGGTGTTGAATTGTATCAGTTCTTTATATATTTTTGATACTAATCCTTTATCAGATATGT